AACTCAGACCCTTGCGCTTGCCAGGGAAGCACTTATTCCACTGAGCCATCTCCCCAGCCCCAGTACTGGTATAATCTTGAAACATTAGTTCAGTTACAGTTTTGTCAGTTAAAATCCCCCACATAATAAACGGTCAGGCTTATCTGCTTCATGCTAAAATATACAAAATAATCAAATGGGTAAAAATTTTGAACCTAGCTATTTATATGGGAAAGATTTGTTTTGCGAAATATAACACCTATTAAATACTTATTAAATTAGATATATGAATATTGAACAAAGTTCATTTTTGCTTTCTTCAATATGTTAAAAGTAATTGAAATATTTCCCAGTCGTTCATTGAGAAATTTCTCATTAGACAGAAGTACCTTATAAATCTAGCATGCTTCCTGGTGAATGCTATCCTTGACTTCCAAATAGGAATGAAAAGATTGGGAAGGGCACGTTGCAGCTTTTGTTCTTAGCAACTTCTGGATAAAATCATCACCACTCTCAGTTTGATTTGTTTCATTTACTTCTTGTCACATACACTTTTTAGTCTTTTTCTGATTTATATTGAAATAATCAGTTTGAGGTTTTTGTTCATTTAGATTATTTGAGCTTTCTGATCTATGTTCAATACTGAACCATTTATCGGGCTCATACCATTCAGTAACTGAAGCATATAAAATTTACTGCATTTTTAAATTGATTTAATATTAATGCTAATCTAAAATCTTTGGGTGCAATGTGTCACATCTGTTTTGTATTCCTCTGTTTAAAAGAAGTGGCAGTATGGTATTTAGAGGAATATTTATTATCTGAGTGTTTTCCTTTGCAACAGTTTCCCTCAGTCTATTGAGAATTATAACTTCTAAGAGACAGTGAATCACCCAACAAATTCTCAGGTACTCAACTGCCAACAGCCACAGATAATTAGAAGTTTAATTTACCATTCCATTCCCTTTGCTAAAGTACTTGTAACTTTGGAGGTTTCTGGAAATTGTAGAAAATAAATTTGTGGTGAAACTTTTTAAAATATTCATATATATATATATATATATATATATAAATAGGCTCAGTCTGTACTTTATGGACACACCAGGGTTTTTTTTTTTTTTTTTTGACACACCCGTTTTTTAGAACACGCTTTATTGGACTTAGTGCAGCTGTGTGTTTGAAAGTTTTTCATTGCTCTGACTGAATATTCTTATCCTGTGGTCATGTTTCATAGCCTCTTTTGAGGACATAGATTTCTTTAAATTACCGGCAGTGAAAGCCATACTGCCTTTTCCTAGATGGGAAAGTGCATCAGCACGAACTTTTTTTGTATAGTTGTGAGCAGTCCTGTGTCTCTCTGCCAGGATCTGGCTGCCTCAGGTTAGGAAGCACTGCTGTCTCAGAACTGTGTACATCACTTCTGGTATGCCAGTGTTAGCATCACATTATCATTTTGCACTAATAATTTTCTTCTCTGTAAACTTTATTTAATCCTTTATTTTCTTGTGGATCATTGTATAGAAGATAAGCAGAATTAAAGTCCTATTTTTGGGGAAAACAATTCCCCTCCTTTTTTTTTTCCAGTACTAAGGGACTGATTCACACTGAGCTATATCCCCAACTCTTTTAAATTTTGAGACAGGATCTCATTAAATTGCCTGGGTTAGCTAGGCTCAATCTTTTTAATCTTCCTGCCTCAGCCTCTCAAATGCTAGCATTATAGGTGTGGTCTACCATGTTCAACTCACCCTAATCCTTTTAAAAGCTTTTGTTTTGTTTGTCTTTTAATTTTGAGATAGTCTTGCTAAATGCCCAAGCTGACCATAACTTGTTAACCATCTGTTGCAGCTTTCTGAACAGCTGGAATTTTAAGTGTGTTTTACTATGTCTGGCTGTACATAATTTCTTTTAATTTTTAAGTTGGTCCTGGAAATTTTAGAAGAAAGTTGATCTATATGATAGGTTTTATCTTGGGTATTTAAGAAAACAATACTCAGTTTACCTTTGGGCCAAACATGAAAACAGTCAAAGATAGAAATGAGTTCTTATAGATCTGTTGTTGAAGTAGTTTTTCTTTAGTAAAGATTTGTTTGGGACCAGAAAATGGGTTCTCATGCTAATGAAAGGTTTTGAAACTTTTTAGGAGTTGTAAGGTTGTGCAGGTTAAGAGCTCAGATTTAAAGCAAGCATGGTGATGGCGGCACACATTAAGGCACACGCCTCCCGGCGCTCTGAGAGGCTAAGGCAGGAGGACTGCAAGTTCAAGCCTAGCCTGGGTACTTGATGACTTAGTGAGGCCGTGTGTGTGAGTGTGTGTGTGTGTGGTGTCTCATCTTGTCTCTCTTCTCTTCTCCTTTCTTTCTTTCAAGACCCTGTCTCCAAAGAATATTATAGAAGGTCTAGAGATCTAGCTCAGTGCAAAGGCTCAAAGTGCTGGGAGCAAAATACTCAGGTCAAGCAGATTAGGGTCTAAGCCCAGCTCATTCAGTCTTGCAGACATTGCTTTCCTATAAAGCAAGACCTAATCTATTAAATAAGATTATTATTACTATTTTTTTGACGCAGGGTCTTGTTACATAGTTTAAGCTGCCTTAAACTCACTGTGTAGCCCAGACTTGCCTCAAACTCACAGTGACCCTTATGCCTCTGCCTCCTGAGTGCTGTGATAACAGGTGTGCACCACCATGCTCAGCTATATAATTTCTATAAAGTGCTTGGCTTTATGGTTGGTATAAAATACGCATTGATAACTTCTTTTTGTATCATGATTGTTAATAACAAACAAATTGAACAGCTATGCTTTTCAATTGCAGTGTCCATTTTTCCTGTCATAAATTTAGTAGATTGTAGTACATCTTGGTTATACAAGAATAAATCTTGAGTTCTCTAGAATAATCTCCAGTGTTGGTGGCTTCCTCAAGTTGTTGTGTATGTCCATATTCAATTGAGTGAAAGAAGACACTAAGGATGTAGCTTAGTGTGAAGGCCCTGAGGTCAATCCCCATTACCACACATAAAAAGTGGGGTTGACAGTAAACTTGGGCAGGGCATGAGGACGCTTGCCTGTACTTCCAGTACTCAGGAGTTAGAGGCAGGAGAAACAAAAGGACAACGAGGAGTTCAAGGTTAGCCTTGGTTACACAGTGAACTCAAGGCTCACTTGAACTATATAGGAAGAGCCTTGCTTTATAAATAAATAATTCAACGGAGTTCTCTAAAGACAAGGGGGAGCAAACCAACTTTTTCACACTGTATTTTTCAGTATTCAGTTATTACAGTTGGGTAATATATTAAAAAGCTGTCCAGGAAATTTGTCTAATAATTGGAATAAACAGGAGCACAGCAAGGGGATGGTTGCTATGTATAGACTGAAAATGGAGCCCTAGCACGTGTCTGCTTTTGAACCCTGACACCCAGGTGATCATGTGGTAGAGAGCTGCTTTAACCCACGTGGCCAGCAGAGTCTTGAGAGGGAGCAACAGGAGATTAAGGAAAATCTAGACACGTAATAAAAGGAAAGCTGGGACCAGGTGGGACCTGACCTCTCTTTTAGTGAGGTAGCAACAACCCAACATGGTCTGCATCTTTACTTATACACAGTAAAAGGGGGGATGCATGCAATGGAGTCAAAAGCACAAGGTCTCAACACCTTGCTGAGAACACTGAAAGCCCAACATTCTCAGAGCTGTCCGCTGCAGTTAACATGGAGGAACACCAAGGCCAGACACCTGCTGGACTGGCCTTGCTCTAGCCCCAAATATGTGGTCAACCTCCGGCTCAGCCGCTCTCCACGTAGGGCCATGGGTGTTGGATATACTTAGGGTAGATGGTATACTTAGGTTCCTTTGCATATGATATCATAAAGGAGAACTCTAATTTTAAGTTGTTTGGTGAGTAGACATTTGTATAAATGTGACCACCATACGGATATCAGCTCTAAGAGTGCCCATTGTGGCTTGTAAAGTGTTTGAAGTGGCTGAAGAAAGGAAGAGGATGATATGTGTGATACGTTGATTAAATAAATGATAAAGGGAAATGGTTTAATATTAGTCTGAAGTGAGAGCCTTTGGTCACTTAAGAGATGATTTTAAACATTTAAAGAAGTAAGGTGACATACTATTACATCTCTTTCTTTTTTTACGTAGTGGTGGTTGTTATGACCAGGTAACAACAGTATCAGTGTTCATGGCAGTGTTTTATTTGTATGTTTCTGTGTGCACATATCTACACGAGTATGTGCTTTCCAAGGAGGTTTAGAACGATTTATTCAGATGGAAATCATAAATGTCAGTTAAGAGTGATTTCAAAACACAGGAGAAGCTAAGGATTCAATTTGTTCATCAGTAAATTATCTCTGTGTCAGTAACAGAAACGACAGAACGGATTCATCATGGATTTAAGCCTGTGCATTTGCTATGTGGGAAAAAAAAACCATCGCATAATCATTTGACATTGATGAATAGCAGGTGCTGTAGGTATCATTGAGACACAGGAGCTCACTTTGCTCCCATAACTTGTTCCTGTAATAGCTAGTACATATATTTATTTTCACTGATCAGAGAGAAAGCTTGGTAGGTAACATTCCTCCTTTTTTCCCTAGCATCGTCAGTGAAGCAGGAGCATCTATCTATAGTGTGAGCCCTGAAGCCAACAAAGAGATGCCAGGGCTGGATCCTAATCTAAGAAGTGCAGGTAAGAAACTGTCACACAAGCATGTGATTATGGACTCCCCTATGTGGCAAGCTAAATATTTTAAATATTAAAGAAAATGTAAATGATATATCTTATGCATAACAATTGGTATGTTGGAAAGTGTTTGGAGTAATAGTTGGCATTATGGAAAAGAAGAATACAGTCTTGTTTTTAAAGAATACTACAGGATAGATATATAGTTGCATTCTCTTAATGAATAAAATGATTTGTTCTAATGGTGTTTGTAAATAGGATCTCAAGTCCGCATCTTGTACAGCAATTAACCACTAAGAAGAATATATGCAGTGTGTTATTTGT